CAATAGCCACGCTAACAGCTCGGGCATTAGCAGCCACATACAGCAATAACGGCTCTTTATCGATCGGGGCTGCAAGCACAGGCGGTTCAGCTAACTGCCTCTTCAGATCCTCAAATGCTTTATCAGTCACCTCACTCTAGACAAAATCATCTGTTTTCTTGAGCATCTGATATAGAGGGATAGCCTTCTCCCCAAGACGACTGATAAACCGGCTCAAAGCCGCAATCCGGCCGGCCAAATGTTGAATGTCATTGATACACGTCGGTTTAGCCAAATATGTAATTGCTGAGATTTTTTCCGGATTAGCCTCAATGCCTCTGTTTGACACCAGAAAACCCAAGAGTTTGCCTGCCGGGACACCAAAGACACACTTGTCCGGATTGAGCATCATCTTGTAAACCCGGAGGTTGTCAAAGGTTTCTCTCAAATCATCTATCAATGTTTCCTCCTTCTTGGACTTTATCACAATATCATCTACATATGCATGAACATTGCGCCCAATCTGCTTATGAAGACAATTCTGAACACAGTGTTGATAAGTCGCCTGGGCACTCTTGAGCCCAGAAGGCATGGAGACATAGCAGAAGGCTCCAAAGGGAGTTATAAAAGCCGTTTTCTCCTGGTCCTTAACTGCCATTTTGATCTGATGATAGCCAGAATAAGCGTCTAGAAAACACAAACGGTCACAACCCGCCGTAGCATCAATAATCTGATCAATACGAGGGAGGGCAAAGGAATCTGCTGGGCAAGCCTTGTTCAAGTCTGTGTAATCTACACACATACGCCAAGTGTCGTTTTTCTTAAGAACCAGCACCGAATTAGCCAACCACTCTAGGTGAAAGACCTCCACGATAAACCTTGTGGCCAACAACCGAGCTACCTCTTCACCAATAGCCTTGCGCCTTTCTTCATTGAAGCGGCGGAGAAACTACTGGACCAGTTTAAACTTAGGATCAATGTTAAGTGTGTGCTCAGCGAGTTCCCTCGGTATGCCTGGCATGCCAGAAGGTTTCCATGCAAACATGTCCCGGTTCTCACGGATGAACTCGATGAGCGTGCTTTCCTATTTGGGATCCAGGTTAGCGCTAATGCTGAACTGCTTGGATGAATCGCCAGGAACAAAATCAACCATCTTAGTATCTGTGGCCGATTTAAATTTCAACGCTTGATCGTGTTCCGTAGTTGGCTTTTTCAAAGAAGTCATATCTGCCGGATCAAATTGGTCTTTATAAAACTTCAGCTTCTCCGTGGCACAAACCGACTCAGCATAAGCCGCATCACCTTCCTCACATTCCAAAACGATCTTCCTGCTCCCGTGTACTGTGATGGTCCCCTTATGACCTGGCATCTTAAGCTGTAGATAAACATAACACGTCCTCGCCATGAACTTAGCATAAGCCGGCCGCCCAAACAAAGCGTGAGACGGACTTTTGATTTTCACCACCTCAAAAGTCAATGTTTTTGATCTTGAATCATGATCATCTGCAAAATCCACCTCTAAGGCTATCTTGCCCACCGGATATGCAGATTTACCAGGCACCACACCATGAAAAACAGTGTTTGACGGTTTAAGATTCTTATCTGTCAACCCCATACGACGGAAGGTATCATAATATAGAATGTTGATACTACTTCCCCCATCCATGAGTACCTTAGTGAACTTATATCCCCCAACTTGAGGGGCCACCACTAAGGCCAGATGACCCGGATTGTCAACCCGGGGCGGGTGATCCTCTCTACTCCATAAAATGGGTTGCTCGGACCAGCGCAAATACTGAGGCACCGCCGGTTCAACAGAGTTCACTGCCCTCTTGTGAAGCTTCTGATCACGCTTACACAAGCTAGTGGTGAAGACATGATATTGACCACTATTTAACTGCTTAGGATTTCTCTGATAACCTGACTGCTGCTGCTGCTGGTTCCCCTGATGGTTGTAACCTCCCTAGTTGCCCTGATTCCCTTAATTGTTGTGTCCAATTTGATTGCCCTGAAATCCTGAACCGGAGCTGCCGCCCCCGTAACCCGGCCCGTGGAAACTACCCCCTGAACCGCCGGGCAGGCCATTATCGTACTGAAACATATTGGAGTTCTTGAAATATCGCATGATATAACAATCCTTCCAAAGATGTGATGCTGGCTTCTCCTTTGATCCATGCTTTGGACAGGGTTGATTTAACAGGCGCACCAAATTGGAGGCTGAACCTCCGCCCCTCTGGGGCTGCTTGCCCTTACGGCGCTGACCATTCTCTTAAGCATTGGTGTTAGCCACAAAGTCCAAACTGTTGTCGGCCTTGCGCTTACCATTGTTCCCATGGCCTGCCGGATTATGCTGCTGACCCTTGGTGTTGCCGTTCTTTTTCCCTTTCCCCGGTTTGTCCTCCTCTGAGTCAGGATCTTTGGTATTTTCTGAATTGGCGTATTTAACCAAAGCGGTCATAAGCGTTGACATATCATTGCAGTGACGTTTGAGCCTTCCTAACTTCTGTTTGAGCAGCAAAAAATGGCAATTGCCCTCCAACGTTAGTACTGCGGTATCTGCATTGATACGATCTGATGAATGCAAAATAGCTGAGACCCGCTTTACACAATGGGCCGTGGACTCCCCATCCTCTTGGACACAAGTGGCCAGATCCACAGTTGACATGGGCTGCTTACAAGTATCTTTGAAGTTCTTGATAAACCGGTGCTTCAATTCAGCCCATGATCCGACAGAGTTAGTTGGTAAGCTCTTCAACCAAGTACGAGTTGTTCCTTCCAACATCATGGTGAAGTATTTAGCACATACTGCTTCATCCACATCTAATATCTCCATCGCCATCTCGTAACTTTCAACCCATGCCTCTGGTTGTAGATCGGCGGTGTAATTGGGTACCTTACGAGGTCCTTTGAATCCTTGGGCAGTCGCACATTACGCAAAGCGGGGGTGAGACACAGCACCCCTAAGGAACTGAATACCACACCTGGCTCTACTGAAGCGGTAGGGTGAACCGGCATGGGTTGACGGGCTCCGTGCAAATCTGCTAACTCGGCCTCTCGACATGCGCGACCATGATCCACCACATCCTGCGCATTAGCACCTCCCCCTGCCGGTTGTGCCCTCGCGGCGAGTTACAGCGACGTGCACTGCTTGACACAGCCGGTTCATCCTCAACGTGCCTGCTGTAGCTCCGGCTTGGACGGGGGGTAAATGAATCCTCTCACGATTGTGTGAATATGCCTGCTGCTGGTTTAGAGTTGTTTGAAGGAGATCTCTGGCCAGTCGTGCCTCAACCGCAACTGGTGATTCGCCGTTGGTTGGGAGGGCTGCCAACCATGAAGCGGCGGCCACCATGTTGTCCAACGGGTTGGAGTAATGCCCGGGGCGTGTTGGAACATACTGTGGCACAAGGTTGTTTTGACGAGGCGGGTCAATCATGCGCGGCTGAACCGACGCTCCTGTTCCTGGCGCCTTCGTTTGGTTTAATATTGGATGGTTACTCGTTCCTGCTCCTGGCATATTGAAGAGATTTCTTGGCTCATAACTCGGCGGGAGATGTGATCGGTATCTTCTTCTCATGAATTCTTCTGAAGCATTCTGATCCAGCCTAAACCGGTAGGCCTGAGCTTCCAACTCGGCCCGTTCTGTAGCCATCCTAGCGTTCTCTGCTGCTAGGTCCGCTTTAGCCTGAGTTATCTGATATTTTACCTTTGCGATCTTCGCATTGTGCTGATCTCGGGCTGCTGCATCCACCTCTGCGGCCATCAATGTTGCCAAAGCGTCGAACAAATCAGACAGAACTTGAGCCGGAGGTGGCGCAGAGCTCCCTGCCCCCGCCGGCGTGGCTGTTGCTGAATCGGAGAGCATTGCTGCGGCGGTTGATGAGTGGGGCGCTGTGTAACGCCCCAAGACCGGAGCTTCAGATGGCTTCCATGGTTTCTGAGTTTCATCATGTGATTTGTTTGGTTCGTTGCTTTCTTCTTTGCATCATGTCATCATGTCATTTTTTCTCAACAATCAAATCGTATGGATCTTTGATCCATTTAAATTGAGGGAACTCACATGGTGATTTCTCTATATAACATATTCTGCCAATATATTAGGGAGCTATAATAAATATTCCATTCTTATGAAATCAACCAAAACACACTTGCATCTTTCTCTTGTCAGCAATCCCTCATCAAGTGCAACACCCCATCACTAGTTTCTTCCTTTCAATTCTCACCCATTTATTGCAAGTGACATTTTTCTGTCACCTAAAAATGTTCATTCTTTTCCTATAATTATTGGACCATGCCATTTACCTCTCTGCCAAATCTCATCTTTTTCTGAGTTGTTTTGGTTGGGTTAAAAATGCGTCAAGTTTGAATTAATTCAAACTTGGATCATTTTTCTACCTCTAAAAAAGTTGCCAAAGCATTTTATTCTAATATCTCAGGAACCCAGGATCCGAGGGATGTTCTTATATACTCCATACCCTTCTCCTTAACCCCCTAATCTTTTCTTGTAACATCTATTTTTTTAAAGACAAAATATGAGAATTAGGAGGGAGAAGAGAGAGGGTGAAAGGAGCCCAACAGCTCCAGCCGGCCTCTGGGCACTTCCCTCTCCCTGGGCCGGCCTCCAAGGCCCAGTCTCTCCCCTGATCTAACCTAGGCCCAGCCGCTCCCTCTCCATCTCCTTTGTTCCCTTCCCTCGTCTCCCTCCTCACGTCGCCAGGAGCGCCCGTGCCCGATGCCATCTGCTCGACCCCTGTCCTCTCGATCTCTCCCTCGATCCCATCTCTCCCGCCGTAGCGCCAGAGACCGAGTCCTCCCTCGACGCGCCATCAGAGAGGGAGAGTAGCACCGCTCCCTTCTTCTATCCACCTCCCTCTCCCTTCGTTCCCCTGCTCTCCTTTCCTCATGCCGGCGACCTCCTGCTGCCTCTTCCACCACCAGATCAGGCCAGCCTCCATCGCCATGCCCGTTTCCGGTCGAACCTCATCGACAGGACCCCATCCCCGCCTCTGGTTCCTCCTCCATCATGCCTCATCCTTCCCTCCTACATCCTCCGCGCCATTGCCTCCTCTGCATGCCGAGCCCGAGACCCCGCGAACCTCCCGCTCGTCCGCCGTGCTCTGGTGCCTCCTCCTCCCTCCCGCCGGAGCCCAAGTCCAGCGCCTCCTCCCTCCAGCGCCGCCTTGCTGCTCCCTCCCGTGCACAAGCCCCTCCTCTGCCATGGCCTTCCTCCTCCTGTGTCTGCAGCGACCCTGTGCTGTTGCAGCTGCTCTTCCTGCGCGCCGCCTACCTCGCTGAGCCTTGTAGCATGGCCCTTCTTCGGCAACTAGCGCCCCTCCATGGATGACCACCACCATCGTTGAAACACCCGGAGCAAGACGACCACAACCCTGTGGCTTTCAGGTGTAATTGGTTCATTTTGGCCTTTGGGTCACCGTTGTCATTTTGTTGCAAGTACCTCCATGATCGCTGGTTTCGAAGACCACAAGCACCACTACATCGACGTGTAATCGCAAAACTGTTGGTGACCTTGAAGCGTTTGGAATTGTTAAGTTCGACCCCATGGCCGAGTACCCCTACAACAAGTGTACCACTACCGCCGTCTTCGGAATCGCTAAGAATGCCAAGTACCCCTTCGAGTTGACGAAACCGGCAAGTTCGAAGACGCCAAGTACCACCAAGTTCCTGATGGATGCGCCAAGTCCCTAGCGAGACCCGTTTTTGTCAAGTTCGACTACACGATGATGACCTCGGAGTCGGACCACAAGCGCCAAGTACCCCACCGGCAAGACCACATGGACGCTCGAACGACTTTAGACCGAAACGTCAAGTACCTCGTCGATACGTGTACGACTACCATCGCTTGGGTTTGACAAGACACCGAGTACCACTACATTTGCCATGTACATCATACACCAAGACCAGACCGACAAGTACCCCGAGAACGTCTGTACCGCTACCGTCGACGTGCTTTCCGTCAAGTTCCACTACCAATGACCCCGAAACGACTATGAAACATGAATGACTACTTCCCTCTATGAACTCAATCTGCTCTGGAAATGCTCGCTTCAAAGGTATAACCCCGAGACGATGCCTGTGAACGAATGCATGTGATGTTTGATATGCTCGCGTTTGCACCGTGCCTGACGTGTTTCTTGCATGTTCCCCGTTGCCATGCCATCGTCCCGTGGGAACCCGGTAGTCGGGAGCACCCCACCATCTTGCTCAACTCGCTCATGTCCTATCTTTTTCACCGGCACCTCAACTGAGTTACCAGAACCGATATGTTGTCGTGGCATCATTTTCGGATTCGTCGCCGTGGCACCCTTTCTTTTCACCATGGTGACAAATGCTTCATAATGCTCTTATCAACATTTTCATTAAAATTGCATAAAACTTGCATATGTCATCCGCATCATGATAACAACTTCAAGAATGTTTAAATTGTTGTTTGCATCAAAATTGCTAAATGCATATGGGGTTTTTCCGGACTTGTTGCTTGTTGTTTCCGGCCTCATTTAAAATGCCTAAATGTGTTTTTTTAACTCATGTTTCATCTCTTGCCATGTTTAATAACATTTAATATTGATGAGTACATAACCGAGAGAGAACTAAATAAGTCATGTGGTGTTTCGTCAATATGCAACTCGTTGCATATTGAGCTCCACTTAACTTGTAGAGTTGTTTATGCACTTTGCTATGCCATGCATATTTAAACCGGACATGCATCATACTTGGATGTGCATCATGCCATGATTATGTGATGGTTGTTTACTATGTTGTTTGCTTCTTTCCGGTGTTGCTTCTTCGGGTTAGTTCCGATAACTCGTGTTTGTGAGGATCCGTTCGACTACGTCCGTTTGTCATCTTCATGGACTCGTTCTTCTTCCTTGCGGGATCTCAGGCAAGATGACCATACCCTCGAAATCACTTCTATCTTTGCTTGCTAGTTGCTCGCACTTTTGCTATGCTGCGATACCTACCACTTGCTATATCATGCCTCCCATTATTTCCATGTCAATCCTCTAACCCACCTTGTCCTAGCAAACCGTTGTTTGGCTATGTTACCGCTTTGCTCAGCCCCTCTTATAGCGTTGCTAGTTGCAGGTGAAGATGGAGTTTTGTTCCATGTTGGAACATGTATATTGTTGGGATATCACAATATCTCTTATTTAATTAATGCATCTATATAGTTGGTAAAGGGTGGAAGGCTCGGCCTTATGCCTGGTGTTTTGTTCCACTCTTGTCGCCCTAGTTTCCGTCATACTGGTGTTATGTTCCTTGATTTTGCGTTCCTTATGCGGTTGGGTTATAATGGGAACCCCTTGACAGTTAACCTTGAATAAAACTCCTCCAGCAAGTGCCAACCTTGGTTTTACCATTTGCCACCTAAGCCTTTTTCCCTTGGGTTCTGCAGACTCAAGGGTCATCTTTATTTTAAACCCCCGGGCCAGTGCTCCTCTGAGTGTTGGTCCAACTTGTCCGCCGCCGATGGCCACCAGGGGCAACTTTGGGCTGGCCTACCGGATGTTTGGACAATCCAGTGTGCCCTGAGAACGAGATATGTGCAGCTCCTATCGGGATTTGTCGGCACATCCGGGTGGCTTTGCTGGTCTTGTTTTACCATTGTCGAAATGTCTTGTAACCGGGATTCCGAGTCTGGTCGGGTCTTCCTGGGAGAAGGAATATCCTTCGTTGACCGTGAGAGCTTGTGATGGGCTAAGTTGGGACACCCCTGCAGGGTTTTGAACTTTCGAAAGAAGTGCCCGCGGTTATGGGCAGATGGGAATTTGTTAATGTCCGGTTGTACAGAACTTGACACTTAACTTAATTAAAATGCATCAACCACTTGTGTAGCCATGATGGTCCCTTTCCGGCGGAGTCCGGGAAGTGAACAAGGTTCTTGTGTTATGCTTGAATGTAAGTAGTTTCAGGATCACTTCTTGATCACTTCTAGTTCACGACCGTGCTTTGCTTCTCTTCTCGCTCTCATTTGCGTAAGTTAGCCACCATATATGCTAGTGCTTGCTGCAGCTCCACCTCACTACCTTTTCCTACCCATAAGCTTAAATGGTCTTGATCTCGTGGGTGTGAGATTGTTGAGTCCCCGTGACTCACAGATTACTTCCAAAACCAGTTGCAGGTGCCGATGATACCAGTGCAGGTGACACACCCAAGCTCGAGTGGGAGCTCGATGAAGATTGTGTTCGTTGTGTTGTTTCGTTCCAGTTGATCAGTAGTGGAGCCCAGTCGGGGCGATCGGGGATCTAGCATTAGGGGTTGTCTTTATTTATTTGGTTCCGTAGTAGGACCTTGATTGTATTTTTGAATGATGTAATGCTATATTTATGTATTGTGTGAAGTGGCGAGTGTAAGCCAACTCTTTATCCCTCTCTTATTCAGTACATGGGATGTGTAAAGACTACCCCTCTTACGACATGCCTACTATGCGGTTATGCCTCTAAGTCGTGCTCTGACACATGGGAGATATAGCCGCATCGTGGGTGTTACACACTGATTGCGTACCGGCCATGAAGATAGCGGCCCGGTTTGGCAGATCAAGGGAGTCCAGAAACTGTGGCCCTTGGAACCTCCACTAATCCGGCCATCCTGCAACTGATAGAGCGATTTAGTCTCTCTAGAAGACTCGTCGTCGGAGCAGACAACGGTTTCTCCATCGGATGCCGGACCGTCCTCATATTCTGCTCCATGGGTGAAACCTACAAAAACATGCTTTGCCATGGGCTGAACCGGGGAAGGGCTTGCACGCTGAGCCATCTCGATGATGTCGGTGCAGGTGTCCGGCTCAGGGCCCGGTTCACCAATCTTGCCGATGAAGACAAGAATCCCACCAAAGGGGACACGGTACCCGTATTCGATTGAATCGGCCTTAGGGCCCCATCCTGCATTGTCGATGTAGAGCTTGCCGCGACGACTCTTCGTCATCCGGCCCACAGCGTATCCCTTCAGTCCATCAAAGCTGACATTTAAGATCTCGAAACCATCGTGCGATAGCCCCACAGTGGGCGCCAACTGTCGTGGGTTTGTCATGGCAGATGTCCTTGTAAAAGGACTTAGTCGTGGAGCCATCGCAACGGGTTAGCTTAAAGGAGTTAAGCCGGACAAGGGGACACGGGGAGTTTATACTAGTTCGGCCCCTTCGATGAAGGTAAAAGCCTATGTCTAGTTGTGATTGGTATTGCTAGGGTTTCGATGACCAGAGAGCGAATCCGCTCTCGAGTTGTTGTCCCTCCTCAAACTGTGGCCGGGTCGTCCCTTTATATACACAGGTTGACGCCCGCTGGTTTACAGAGTCCTGAGGTCGGATCATAGAGGTGTCCAGCTCGGTCTCTATTCCTCTAACTTACAATACAAGTTTACATGATAAAGTCGGTTCACAACTACAGGCTTTAATCCGTCTTTGGGCCTTGGGCCTTCTTAAAGCGCTAGTATCTTGCCATCTTCATGGGCTTCAATCTTCATGGAGCTAATCCGGCCATGCCTAACCGGTTTACCTCCAGTAGCTATATCCCCAACACCTATACTTGTGGGTTATCAAGACCTTTTTCTGGCGCAGTTTTTGGGGAGCATAGCTTTATTCTCTGAGTCACTTGGGATTTATATCTGCTGATCACTATGAGGAATTTGACAGACCAAAGAACCAAGATTTTCCCCTCAACTACGAGGGGAGGTAAGGAATTGCCATCTAGCTCTGCACTTGATTCACCTTTTGTTTTAAGTAAACTTGCGACACCTACACCTGCTATAGATTCCGATATGTCGCATGTTATTGATGATTCCACTTCTTATATGCATGATGCTTATGATGATACTACTTCTTTGCTTGATAATACTGTGCCACTAGGTGAATTTCTTGATGAACAACTTGCTATGGTTAGAGAAAATGAAATTACTGGAACTGATGATATTATTGAAACTTAAGATTATGATTCTCCCCCTTGATATGAATTTCCTATTGTACCTAAGGGTCATATTATGGATGAGGAAACTGCTAGAGACTTTCTTGCTTGTAATGACAGAGATGATCTTAAGAAACTGTTAGCTGAGCTGAAAGAAAAGTCTTTGAATGCTAGAATGCAATATGATCCTAAGTTTTCTACCTCACCTATCTTTGTTACCGATAAGGATTATGAATTCTGTATCGATCCTGAGTTAATTGCTTTGGTTGAATCTGATCCTTTCTATGGTTATGAATATGAAACTGTTGTGGCACATCTTACTAAATTGAATGATATATCCACCCTATTTGCTCATGAGGAAAAATTCACTATTACTATATTCTTAAGTTGTTTCCTTTCTCATTAAAGGGTGATGCTAAGTTATGGTTTAATTCTCT